CATCAGGGATCAAATCTAGGGCTTCATGCATTCTAGGCAAAGTGCTCCAGTTACATTTCCAGCTCGTTTCTTGATGTCGTACATAACTGTAGACTGTCTTAGTCAGCATGTGATGTCATATTGTTGGCTTCTATTTATTTCCTCAGTCAAAATAAATGTCCTATAGAGACTCATGCACATTGGCATGTTTTCTCAGCACATGATTTGGGAACAGATAGAAATTGGTTCTAATCCCTTGACCGTTACTAGTCAGGTGATCCTAGATATGGAAAGAAGTTTTTGCATTTGTATATTGTAAATAATCACACTGTAAAATATTTGCAAATGTGAGGAAATTAAGTGAAACAAATGATAGATGGGACAAGAGATGGCTTAGCATCTAAAGGTACTTACCTCCAAGCTTCATGACCTAAATTCCATCCATATTATACTTCCACCAACTCTTGTAAGACATCCCCTGATCTTCATATACAAAGCATGGCATACATTCATGAGAATACAAACACATACACATATACACACACAGGCACACAAACACACACACACACATGCACACACTTAGACACACACAAATGAATAAATGTTGGTTGAAAAATCTGAAAGAGAAGTTCTCTGTCATATTTTCTTTAAGCCAATCGAACCACATATTTCCTGGTGTACCCACAAATCTCTAAGATATTTTAAAGATATGTTTTACAAGTAAATTTTTAAAAAAATGATAAAAGATCAGTGGGTGATTTTATGGACTTAATGCTTTTGAAATAGACTAACGTTTTTTTCTACAAATTCTAACCTTTCCCTTTCTTCTTTTAACACAAAACAGTCACTTCATTTAAAAGAAATAGTCAGTAGAATTTTTGTTTTTCTTGAAACTTTTTTTCTAAATATCCAGTGATTTCAGTGATTCATTAAAATAGTTTTGTTTCCTTAGGAAGAAACTTTCCACACATACACAATAAGTGCTTGGCATTTTGCGGCTTACGCCTTGGGGAGTTAGTGGTATTTGGCTCCTGACCTGGAAGTCTTTCTCCTGTCAGACAAAATCCTTCCCCTGCACATTCCTGTTGAAGTTTGTTTCTGTTGTGCATGATGGCAGGCTCTGAGGTGATCACTAGGGTTTGCACTGCCCAGGCCAACTTTCCTTCCCTTTTCTACCTTTCTGCTTTGTGAGCTGGCCTCAACTCTGGCCATTAACCCCTTCATTGTTTCACCAAACTGGAATGGTACTACCTGGAGAAAATGGTTTCTACTGTGCAGCGGCACCGAAACACTTACTTGTGAATTATCTAAACCAACTTTCTTGTGTGTGTGTGTGTGTGTGTGTGTGTGTGTGTGTGTGTGTGTGTGTGTTATACAAATGTGCATGTGTGTATGTGTTCCAATGATTGTTGATGTACATGTGTGTAAGTAGGTGCTTGCGTGTACACACAAGTGTGTGTGTAGGTTAAATTTGAGTGTCTTCCTCCATTTCTTTCCCCCACCTTAGATGGTGAGGTAGGGTCTATTGCATGAACCAGAGCTCTTGTATTTGGTGTTTGGCTGCTCTAGCCCAGCCAGCTTTCTCCAAAGATCTTCTGTTACTGCCTCCTTGGTGCTGGGATTATAGGTTAGTTACTAAGCCCGCCCAGCTTTTACACAGATAACTGGGGATCCAAACTCAGCTCTTTAGGCTTGCTTGGCAATTGTTTACTCATTGTGTAATCTCTCCAGCCCAATTTTTTTTGCAATCTCGTGAGAAGAGTACAGACACTTATCAGATATTCGGATATATCCTGGAAAGGGATTGTATTTTGAAAAATACACAAACTGGGTGACATTTTGATCTTGATTCTGCAAATCTGTGCTCTGACACCTTGAGATTTCATCTCATCCTTAAGATTTATATATACTTCCCCAACAAAAACATGCATCACTGGGAGAAATAGCATGCAGGAATAAAGAGCAAGTGCAAATCGAACATAGCTAAAGTGTGCGTGGTGAGGAATATGTTCTAAGAAAAGGCACAAAGAACTAGTGTCTGAAAGCGGTTGGTGTTCGAGTCTGAAAAGTTAGGTGGTGTGATGGTGGCGTGTAAGTCCCGTGATGTTTAATTGATGTGTTTCTATTTCCTTCCTGCAGTCACTTAAGTTAAAATACTTCAGCAAATTCAAACTTAGCAGTTTTGGTAACTATGAGACCACTTGGATGTTTGGAGACTCTTCCTTTAACCAGGGATTATCTTGAGATTACATATGCGTTGGAAATGTAAATACTCAAATAGTTTCACTACAGAGTATGAAAGTTTCAGCAAACTATGGGGAGAAAGTACAAGTAGAATCATACACGTTTGTGTGTTCTGTGGTTGGTAGATCATAGGCTCACTTTGAATTGAACTACAGGCATCCACAATGTCAAAAGGGTATATTTTGTCATGCATAGTGACACATGCAGAGACATGTTGTTTATGTGTGGATATAAAAACACAGAGAATCAATTAGTAAATGCACCGACAAAAGAGTGATTTTTACAAATTAGACTAATGATGGTTATTTTGGCATAAGACTTAGCTTACTTCTTACCTCATTGCCTATGGATAAGGACGGGATTTTAAATATTAATTTATTTGTAGTTAGCCATTCCACAGATGACAGAAAAATCCCCCGTGAATTATGCGGCATTAACAAAGCTGTGCAACCTTAGATTGAAAAGCTATACTTTCAATTCAACTACCAGCAATTGATCTTGAGATACTTTATGACTGCTATCACTTACAACAAAGCATTTTTAAATTTATGTTGTTTCATAGTTTTTTTAATAGTTTGCTTGTATTTTATTTATTTAATTTAAGAGGTAGTTGCTGATAGCTAGCAGTGAAACAATTTCTTTTGTTTATTTGGCTAATTAACAGAATTTAAAAACTAAGGAAATGGAAGAGATATATGCAAAGCACAACTCACAAACTGAGGCTGTGAAGGACACTGACAGGAAAAATAAATCATTTTCGTGGGTGACGGTGAACACTCTGAACAGAGAGAGAAACTACTCTGTGGATCAGACTTAATTTCCTTTCAGTATAAAGGCGGTATTCCAAATAAGCTAGAATAGCCAGGACAGAGTTATGTATAGGTATAACCATGCAGGTTTCTAGTATATATGTATTCACCCAGAAAAATAACACTGTGATTTGACCAATAAATCATAGCATTTGTTTGATTTTATAATGAAATTTAAAACTGGAAGTCATTGAACTAAATTCCTGCATTTTGTATAACCCCTTTTAATGCAGTGTTTTACTTTTGAAGTCAAATTTGAACAAAACCAGATCATAAGCAGTGTAACCCGATAGCATTATAACTACCTATTCATCAATAAGATACATGTATTCACATGGAATAAATTATCTATTCATAAGAAAATACTAACTACATTGATGCGAATTTTAAATAAAAATGCCACATATATTTGTAATTAATGTTTCCCAAATAATAATCAGCTCCTCATCATATGCCCATTTCAGGAACCACCTGGAATAAGAACAGTATTATTTGTTGCTAGAAGAAAATGATTGATTAATTGAAGGTGCGCTTACAATTGGTGATTATTGGTTTCCAAACTAGTAATTATATTAGAAACATAAAATCTGAGTTATATGTTGCTAACACATGCAAAACTACTGAGAATTCTGGAATTATCTGTATTTGTTATTCATGCTCATTTTGCCAGCATGCATAATTTCTCCTGAAATAAGACAAATGATATGATAAGAAATTGAATTTTGCTGTTATGCTACTCCTATCAAATGTTTATGTGGCCTCCAGGAGTGTATTCTTATGTATCATTTACAGTGAAGTTGTTGGTCATCTTTAAGTCATACATGTTCAGTGAAAATGTTTGGAAAGGTTGAAAAGCAGGTGTGAGGAAAATAACAGTTAGCTACCAAGTTTCTATTCAGTAAAACAATATTGGTCATAATTACTTTGTGACTGTTTCCCCTATAGTAGATACTGCTTCCTTACCTCCCAATATGGCTTGCACATGAACATCTACACCTGCTTACTTTCCTAGGCATTGTCTCTGTCAGTCATATACTCTGTGACTGTTGGCAGCTTACTTAGCTTCTTGGTCCCTTGGTTTCTTTAAGATACACACAGCAACAATGACCATGTTATAGGAATTTACCTCCGGTCACGGCTGTGAGGTTTGAGGAGAGATTCTTGGATAATATGTATTTATGATCACTGTAGGTATGACTGTATCTTGACATATTTTAAGATATCAAATTCTGATACTGTTTTTATTTGAAGAGTTAATCCTTGCTAGTATTTTATTTTATTTTCAGTAAGCCACAATAAACCCTTTCTCCCCCTGTGTGATAATAGTAGTGAGTGGAACATATGGAAAACATGGTCCGTGTAAAATGGATCTTCACACAGGCTCACTCTGTCATTTCAGTTTGAGTTTTAAGAAATGAGTTCGGCACATCTGCCAAGTCCTTTTAGAAGATGGTGCATTCCTGTTTTTATTTTAGTTTATTTCATTTATGAAAAACTATTTTCCTTCTCCACCCTACCCTGGACAGTTAGTTCTCCTGTCTCCTCTCCTGTCCTAAAGTAGAATGTTACTGTGCATTAAATCTTTAAATGTAAATAAAAAATGAGCGTTAAAAAAATCTGGAAAGAATCTGTCACTTTAAAAAAAAAAACATTCATTTAGTATAGCTTGGTTTAAAACAAAAGCAAAAGAATAAAAAAGGGAAAAAAAATCTGTCTGACATGCTGAAATTATACAATTTGATAATAGCCCCCTTTCTTTGCCAAATTTGGAGTAACAGACTTTTTTCTTAGTGTGGGAGGGAGGTAACTGGTTTGGGGAAGGAAAAGATGGAATACAGCAGATGACGGAGAATCAGTTTGCAAACATATGTTAATATTTAGATTCTTTTTTTTTTAAGTGAAAAGTTAACTAGTTAACGCTTTTCCACAAACTGTCTTTGATACTATGTTTTGTTTATTCTGTCCCAGAAGTTAGCGGTATACAGCAAGATGCAGGACTCACTGGAAGTCACGCTTCCCAGCAAACAAGAGGAGGAGGAGGAGGAGGAGGATGAGGAGGAGGAGGAGGAGAAAGACCAGCCTGCCGAGATGGAGTACCTTAACTCTCGCTGTGTCCTTTTCAATTATTTCCAGGGAGACATTGGGTCAGTAGTGGATGAACACTTCTCAAGAGCTTTGGGCCAAGCCAGCACCTTGCATCCAGAATCTGCCATTTCAAAAAGCAAGATGGGGCTAACCCCCCTATGGCGAGGTAAGAATTCGAGAGCAGATGCCCTTCGGAGCACGCTGTTTCGCAACTGGCCTCTACCAGGCTCCAGCTGGAGGCTTGCCCCTGGAGAACGGATATCCACTTGCTTTTTAATTTTTAAGGACAGCAAGGAATTTCTTTCAGACAACAGCTGGATCAGTTTTGTCACATGTGGAATGCAGGGTTGAGAAGGATGCTCTCACACCCCTTAAATTCCTCATGGAAAAAGCAGTGATACAAGTGGCCCCAGTTTATAGTGGCCAGACTGAGCTCAGAGCTCCATTCCTAAAGCCCCGGTGGCCCAGTGTGGAGCTCTAAATAATAGGCGTGCCGGAACCAGCTTCTAAAAAACATATTCTTGCTCACCCCACTAGGTGTTACGTGGTGACATAGCTGAGTTCTGATTGTGATCCAGGAACACAGACTTTGAAAGCTGCCTGTGTTCTCTTGGTGGCTTTCTCTCTACTGACTTGCTGTGAGCAGGGTACGGTCCTCTCAGGTAGTGTCTTGATGACTTAATCCATTGTTTTACCTCAGTAAACAAGAAGTTTCAGACTGAATGAACTCTTCTTTATTTCCTTCTTTTTGGCGAGCCCAGTGATTTGCTTAGTTCTGTGCTCTAGCTTTAAAAAGTCAGTGGGTGAGTGGCATGCTAGAAATAGTGATTGACAGGGCTGGGAGGAAAAACAGTGCACACTCTAAAGACAGTTTCAGAGAAATGTTTCATATGCAAGTGTTTTGTTCCAAACTCACCTGACTCCAAGAAGGGTCTAGTAGAATTGTTATAAAATGCCGTCCTCACCAGGGAACCTTTTAGCAAGCAACGTTCTGGCGCCTCATCCAAGCCTTGTGGGATGAGAACCCGGTGTGGGTTAATTTGTGTTTACCCAGCCCTGCCAGGGAATGAGAACCAGGCTTAAGTTTGGGAATCAGTGACCTGAAGTCCCTGTTTGTGAGGATTCTATAGGGTCAGAACATCAGCAGGAAGGCGGAGGGAATCACCAGTAACAACGGTCTTGAGTAGTATCTGAGGAGGCAAGGCTGTCCACCTGCCTTGGGGTCTCGTAATCGGTGACTATTGGCTCATGTCGTGATCACAGGCGTGGCTCTGCTGTTGGTGGAGAGGATCTCAGCTGGCACCACTGACCCTTATCTACAGATACACTGTTCTTCTTCCTCCGCATGGTCCATTTTGTCATTCTGTCCCTTCTGCCTGCCTTCCTACTGTCCCTTCATTCTTCTCCTTTTCTCTTCCTCTTCCTTTCCCTCACTACTTTTTTCTCTTCTTTATTTCTTTTCCTTTCTAGCCAATGTATTCAATATGAAGCAGGCATTGTAAGAGGGCAATAGAATATAAACTCAAATAACAGAGGCTGGCTAGAGTAGTCACCCACATGACTACTGCTGAAGTGACAAGTATGTGCTGTGAACTTCGTTTAGGAACAGAGAGCCCTTCAGAGTTCACGATACTTACAGAAGGAGCCAATATTCTATTAGCTCGCTCCTGAGAAATCACATGAATAATTTGAAGAAAATTTCTGTGAATCAGATGGTTTTAGGTAAACAATTTTATATATCAATAATTAATCACACCAACATAATTGGTTCCAGGAGAGTAATGATACAGTGGTTCCTTCTTTCAGCATGTTGGCATATGTAATCCTGTGATGATCTTGTCTGGAAAGGAGAAAGTAGGATGCCAAATTACCTGGAGCATAAAGCCTACTATAGCGCCAAAGCCAGAAGACTTTTAGTGTGTGTGTGTTGACTCTTAAACAATTCAACTGTTCTACGTAGAAATTAGAATCAACAGAGGAAAGCTTTGTCTAGCTGTCTGATTTTTATACAGAAGGGGAGAATGGGAACCATGTTTTAATAGCTACTGCTAGCCTTGTCTTGATGTCATCTTAAATTTGACCTTCCCACATGTATGCTGACTTATTCATTGACATTGCCACCAATGTTTATTAAGCTTCTATTATGTACTATGTAATTTTCAAGGTCCTGGGCTCTATATTCATGGAGTTACTATTTTAATAGTAGAGACAAGTAATATACAAGGATACAATGAGTGACATGTAAGGTGTTACTTTACTGAAAGTGATGATGAAAGCCTTCACAAAGGTAGTTATATCTGAGCATAGACCTGAAGGAAATGAGGGCATTCCTCATGTGAATATTTCTGGAAAAAAAAGGATCTACACAGGACTATCTAGTGCAAAGCCTGTAAAGATGAGTGGAGCTTAGAATGTTCAATGAGAATGTTCAATATACATATGCAGGAGGAGTAGTATGCCCAACCAATGTCTCGTGCCTTTTTGTCTCTTCTCCCACCAAATCTACAAATACTACATCTAGTTATCTATCCATCACTTCCCTCACAACTCAAGGTAATGCTTTTCTATGTGAATATTCTAAGATAAATATAATTCAGTGATTAAGGAATGGAATTATGTGAAGAAAGTTCATACTGTGTATCAAATATTAAAAAAAAACCAGTCTTCACAGAAGCATTTTTTTATTAATCAGTTTTATGAAGTCTTTGGGTATGGTTTCTTTCATTCCCTTTTCCATTCTCTCCTCATCTCCTGCTCCTTCCCTCCCTCCTTCCTTCTTTCCCTCCCTCCCTCCCTTCCTCCCTTCTTCCTTCCTTCCTTCCTTCCTTCCTTCCTTCCTTCCTTCCTTCCTTCCTTCCTTCCTTCCTTTCTCCATCTGTATGTTATATGTTTCCCTGGCAAATGTGCACAAGTGTCTGCTGGTTTATGGTCAGAGGTAGACTTTGGGTCCCCTGCTCTATCAAGTTGTGTCTTATTCTCTTATGACAGATCTACTGTTTAAACCTGGAGCTGGACTGGCAGCCAGCAAGCCCCAGGAATCCTTCTGTCTGACTAGAGTGCTGGGGTTATAGGTGTGCATATTGATTGCAGTTTTATTATTTAAAATTAAGGCACAGGATCAAGTAATTATTGATATAAGGTTGGGCAAAAAATGCATTGTTTACTTTCCATTTGTGAACTGAATACTGCCATTGCTGCTTCTAGTAGCAAATTTCTTTCAAATCAGCACACAACACTTGACTAGGATTCATGGGGAAGCCACAAAATGATATTAAAGATATAGAAACCTTCTTAAAGAGGAGGTATAATGAATGAAATTCACATATCCCATGAAGAGAAGTGGTCATAATATAAATATTAATTGACAAAGCTATACAGGATTAGACAATTCAGTCTTTGGATCCTATTCATTATGGATTCTGGTCATCATCTAATTCCTTGCTGTTTGCAAAGTGGTATTGGAACAACAGCTTAAAATCTCTGTGAGGCCAACTTCTCCAACAATAGCATATTTTCATTACTACTCATTTTAGGTTATTACATAAAATGTATTGAAGAATATATAAATGATTTCATGCAGAGCTTGAACCAACATAATGAGTGAAGCAGATGCTTCTTTTTCCCTTAACTATTTCCACTTACTTGTAGATGAAAGACCAGTGTTGAGTCTTTACCTAGGAGCTTTGTTTTCTGGAAGCTCATATTTTTAGTATGAAGCCATATCTTCAATATAGTAAGAACTGAAGATTATTGATAATGTTAATGGAACCATAAGGGATAGTTTTGAAAGAAGCTGCTGGCCACCTCACCTGCATAAAATACTCTGGCTTGTAGCATGGAGTTATTACAGTCCCACTGATGTGTTACATATGAACTTACAGCTGGATTATATTTGAACAATGTATTTCCATAGTAAATTTTTAGACAAAGAGCATATATCAGCTAAGAGAAGAATAATCATAGTTGAATTCATGTCTTCTTGATAGGGTTAGGAAATGTGTTGTGACAAGTGCATCTGTTAGAAAAACAGTTAAAGTGAAGAAAGTTTTGTACCTTATTTTGGTACAATATCTTGTGAGTTATATCACACCTCACTTTGCATTTCAGTTAAGAAAACAAAATAAATCTGATTACCCCTTAATCCCATTTAGCATCTAGACTGAAACCACAGTTTTAGATACACTCATGCTTTGTTTGTTTTACAGAAAATGTGTGAGTCAGGGTGTGTGTGTGACTCTGTGTGAATCTCTCTCTCTCTCTCTTTCTCTCTCTCTCTCTCTCTCTCTCTCTCTCTCTCTCTCTCTCTCTCTCTCTCTCTCTCTCTCTCTGTGTGTGTGTGTGTGTGTGTGAAGAAGGGTAGTGGTCAGGTAAGATGTAGCAGAGTAGGCCTCTGAATTAACAACATTGCTCTATGGCAGTTACTGCCATTTATTTTTCTTGCACCTTCAAAATAAACTTGTTTGTCACTTAGCTGATGCTTAGCTGATGCGGTTTGGGTTTGCTTAGGAACTCAGCCACATGGGAATGACCCCTCAGAATGAATAGTACAGATCAAGCAGAGCCAAAGAGAAAGGGAAACAAGGGCTATGTCCTGAGGGAGTGCAGGTTCGGAGGAGCAGACTATCAAGGAAGCCCTGGAGGCTGCTTCTTCCAGGAAGTGCTAAAAGCAAGTGAGAGGAAGGTGAGGCCTGACTCACCTCATGATAGTGCCCGCAAGGGTTAGCTCTCATTGCAGTCAGGAGGCTGATTTTTGAGCAATGCTACAAAACCGGAACTGGAGGACAGACTTTGGATACCATGGCAATGCACAATTCCTGGATGACAGAAATGATTGAAGCACATGTCATTCTTTTTCTGACCTGACAGTTGGTTTCTGTAGGAATCAGAAGAAACCAGGGAAAGGGCCTTAAAAGGTGTCAAGAACCCTTAGGTTAAGAGTTGAGATTAAATAGTCTTCTTGCTTTTTTTTTTTTCTCTTTCTTCCTCTTCCTCCTCCTCCTTTTCCTTTCTGAGGCAGGGTCTTGCTCCCAGGTCTGCCTTACCTGGTAGATACTCTTAGCCCAGGTTTTCAGTGAATTTGCAGACTCCTCCAGCCTCTTTCTCTTTTTGAGTGCTGAAATTACAGGCATGCATCCCGATGCTCTAAGTATTTTTTTCTTCATTGTGAATTTTAAAAGAAAATGTTATGTTGGACACCAATATTTTTCATCTGTATTAACTCTAAGAATGTGTCAGCAGTAGATTATTAAAGATGACTTATGATAGCATTTCTCTGCCTTATTTTCCATTTAATATTGTTTTTATTATCTAAAAAAAATAGAATTTGAGCTTTTCCTAAACTGTTTCACAGTTTTTGTTCTTGCTTTTTCTTTCTTTCTTCGTGTGTGTGTGTGTGTGTGTGTGTGTGTGTGTGTGTGTGTGTGTGTGTGTGTGCAGGGTTGCTATAAAAAGTACCCCAGTATTATGACGTTCTAAAAGAAGTGCTTGGCCTCTGTCATCTATGTCCAACTCCTCTGTTTCTCTATGAAACATTTTTTTCCCTGAAAGTCAGATGATGAGATTACTGTCATGCTTTGGAAAGATGATATTGGACGACACAATTTGCTTTGTCTTTCAATTTTTAGAAAAAAAAATGTATTCCTAAAAGTGAACTCAACAAAAATCATATATAGTTTATTATTATTATTATTATTATTATTATTATTATTATTATTATTATTATTTCTGTGTATGAGACTATCAGTGCTGGCACCATCCGAATGCTAATATTGTATGAATGTTGAATAATGACGACTCCAGAATCCCAGTTGAGTCTTAACGTTATGCAGCTCTGAATCGTCCCCACTAACCTTAGAGGTAACATTGCATGGAAACAGCTCCCACAGCTTTTCATCTGCTTTCTTATCCACCAAATGTGGCTGTGATTAAGTACTCGTAAGCAAAGAGTCAGATAATGAAAAAAATTTACATACATATGAAATAAGCATGCTGTTGCCAGCTCAAAGCCCCTGTGTAGCATCTGTTTCTTTGTGTCACATTTTTTTTTTAAACAAGCAAAATACCAAATAGCCATCCTGAAGCAAAGATTTCTTCATAAACATGTTTTCCATTCAGTATCACTTCTCTTACGTGTAAAATGCGACGGTGTTTGTGGGAAAGGGCTGCCGAGATCCCTACAAACTTTATATTAATCTCAGGAGACCTTACACAGACTGGGAAAATATTAAGTTGCTTTTAATTTTATTTTTTCCCTGGGGAATTTTAAAGAGTGGTTCAATTTTTATTGAGTGCCTTTAAAAAAATGATAACATGTTCACTCATCACAATATAGTGCTTCATAAATAGGACAATAATACTTCAGTAAGGAATGTGTTCATTATGAGAATTTGTGCGTGCATATATACAACGTTTATACAGCTATAAGAATAAAAATGATTCCATCTTGGTAAGAATCAAGAGGAAGATAGATATCAGAGAAGTTAGGTATTATTTCTGTACTTTGGACATTATCCTCAGGAGGTTGAATAAGAGGAACTTTTGTCCCTTTCACATCATTAGGAATTGTTAGTTTTCATAATTCAGGTTCTGGTTGTGCCAGGAGATACAAATTATGAGAAGAATGGTACCAAAGATGGGAGGTGTGCCAGCAGAGTGGAAGATTGCTGGTTGGCAAGCTGCCCTACAATGCCCATAAGGCTGACTTGTAAGTGCTATCCTTTAATCCGCGGTGATTGTCAGGAGTGAGTCATTCATTGAGGAGATGACTGGGAATGAATGAAGGCTTCAGCAGCAATTTCTGTCCTTCTCCTCTTGAAGAGCATCAGAGGTTTCTTCAAGGGTTTTGAGGTCCATAGTAATGCTTAGAAAGAGATGATTATGAAAGTGTGGGTCCCTGGCCACAGGGTGAGGGGGTGATTCATGGCAACACTGGTGCAGATTTGAAGGGGAGAGAGTGGATGTTCATGCCCTGATAATACCAAAATCATTAGGGAGCTTAGAGAAGGTGCCAGAATATGGCAGAGATGGACTGATTTGGTTAACCTCATGATACATGTGGTAGTTTATTCAAATTATTTATTTTAAGGTTCATGCTCTGGAAGTGTAAGAAAAGATAAACATGCTAGATTAAATATTTCTAATAATGGGCACCTCTGAGAATACCCTTTGTTCAGTGGTAAAAATCTAGATTATTTTATATGTTGAACCTGGCATAAAAATGTCAGCAGTGCATGTACATAAGTAATGTCGAACATCAGCAGAAATAATCAATAGAATATTTGACAGAATGAAAAATATTGAGCAATATAGTTGCAAATGTATGAATTAAAGTGCTTTAATATTTTTAATGGAAGAAAGTGACAAAGAGATCAAGAAGTCCACCTATGGTTATAAAATGAGAAAAGACATGTCTGTAATGAAAGTGAAGATTCACAGGGCACAGCTTCTATAGATACACATTGTGATAAGAAGCTGACTATGGGGTGGGCAGAGACCTTTCTACATACACATCTGACCTTGTCATTCCCTAGATTCAAACCTTTCCATGCTCCCTGGGAGGCCTCTTATGATAAAGTTCATTTCAGTTCTCTGACCAGGAAGGCCACACACTTGTGAGTCCTTCATATCTCCGTTCTGTCACCCTCCCTCCCACCTCCCACCACTCTCTCTTTCTCCCCAAATTTTGCCTATTGAATTTTATCCCTTAAATGCTACTGATGCTGGTGGTATTGTTGTTGCTGTGTTTGGCGAATCTGTGTAGATTGTGTAGATGTGTTAATATTTCACCTGCTGGTCCATCAGTCTAGAACTCCACCTCACCCCTTCATAAGCCTAGCTCCTCCTCAGCCATTCAATTTTGACACAGTTATCACTTTTCTGGCTCATTTTGTGAGCTTGCTCTTGAAGACATTTGCACGTCTTCCTCCCTTGTGCGTCTCCTGGTGTGATTAACAGTGACAGGTGTCTACACAGCTCTGACTTTCTCTCTGACCCATGTAGGTCACCTGTAAACATTGAGACGAGACAGTGAATTGAGGGAGCTGATGGAGGAGGATGCTCCTTCTTCCTTCCCTGTCCTCAAGTGTGTACTATAGTTTCCCACAGTTCCCTAATATGGCCTGAAAAGTATAGTTCAACTTGAACTTTGCTGGTTATCAATTCTAAAGACTCTCCAAATCCAGGCGACCTGGTTGCAGTCATAATTGTTCCCTCTAGTGGCCATTTTGAAGTCTACCATCCTTTGACTATTGAGGCAGGGTGTCTGGTTTTGAAGGGTAGTCTTGTACTTGCCAACACCTTTTACATTTTCTCATGGGACTGGAGTGAAAATTCTATGAGCTCATGAGCGGCTTTTGGGCTGGTGTTGGACATTTGGCATTTCTCATTAAATGTAAACCATTGTTATTGCCAAGACCACAAGGCTCCTAGGTTTTCACAAAAGTAAAGATAAAATATATTCCTTTTAATGATCAGTGATTTGGTGGGGACAATCACATGTGATCTTACTGCCATTTCTTACTTTTGGCATGGAAATGTTATTTTTTTTTTGTTGGTTTTTTGAGACAGGGTTTCTCTGTAGTTTTGCGCCTTTCCTGGAACTCACTTTGTAAACCAGGCTGGCCTCGAACTCACAGAGATCCTCCTGCCTCTGCCTCCCGAGTGCTGGGATTAAAGGCGTGCGCCACCATCGCCTGGCTGAAATGTTATTTTTAAATAAAAATTTTGTTGGCATTGAAGTTAATGAAATTATTTCTAATCTACACACACCCCATCAATGGTACAAAGGTTCACCAGAGAAATATATCGTAATGACCTCTGTTTAGAACTAAGAGCCACAAGGCTCCCAACAGGAAATGAAGCTTTTCAGTCATGAAATTGAAGCAAAATTCTCAGCTCAGACTGGGACAGAGGAAGCCCAGCAAGCAAATACAGGGGCTCACTCAGTGCTTTTAATTTTGCCCTGTTGCCCTGGCATGGGACCCCAGAGGCTAACCCTGTATCAGCTGATTCCTCTTTGTAGAGAAAAAAAAAGCGCATGGTAATCCACTTGCTCGTTAAACATTACAGGACAAGCAAAGGCAAATCTATCTCAGAACTCTATCTTATGTAAATAATGTGTTTTGTCTTCTCAGACAGCTCAGCTCTCTCAAGCCAGCGGAGTAATTTTCCAACTTCCTTTTGGACCAGCTCTTACCAGCCTCCACCTGCGCCCTGTTTGGGGGGAGTTCATCCTGACTTCCAAGTCACTGCACCCCATGCCACCTTTACAACAACAGACCCCAACTCTTGGCCAGGACATGGTCTGCATCAGACTGGCCCTGCCCCACCCCCTACTGTGTCTGAGTCCTGGCACTATCCTCTGGCATCTCAGGTGAGCCCGTCCTACAGCCACATGCATGACATGTACATGCGGCATCACCACCCTCACGCCCACATGCATCACCGCCACCACCATCACCACCACCACCACCCAACTGCTGGTTCTGCCCTGGATCCCGCATATGGGCCCCTGCTAATGCCATCAGTGCGTACTGCCAGGATTCCTGCTCCCCAGTGTGACATCACAAAGACAGATCCGACTACAGTCACCACTGCTACCTCAGCATGGGCTGGAGCCTTTCACGGAACAGTGGACATCATGCCAAGTGTGGGCTTTGATACAGGTGAGCTGATAGATTTCCTCCTTTCTAGATAAAGAAGAAAAAGTTGAGACATAGGTTTTGGAAAATACTTTTTGCAAAGTTTTCTCTTGAAGCTAATATGCTTGTAGAACAGAGGCATTTTGCAATAATTCCTGCATTCCTGTGGAAAGTTGAATGACTAGCTCATGAAAGCTCTGCCTAAGAAAGGTCTCAGCACTTTTCTTGAATCGCCTATGTGGGGGATCTGTTCCTTTGAACTGGATTTCTCATACCTTATGTTTACAAATAACTCAACCCTTCTTTAAATCTCCCATGACTCTGCACTCTACACCATGTGTTCTGCCCAGTAGATTTCAAAAGTAGTGGTATGCTTCAGTTATGCATTGTAAAACAGATTGTCTTTTGGAATGTGGTCTACAGTCCAGACTTAAAATAAATAGGGACCATATTTGAGGAGTAGATGTTTTTCTATTCTTTTCTCTCTTTTTTTTTTCAAATTTTTTTTGTTCCTTCTTTGCTCTCTTTGTTTTCTTTCCCCTTCCTTCCCGTTCCTATTCTGTCTGAATTAAGTAACAGAGGACATCAGTGAGTACTGTAAATTTATATTCAACATACTTAGAAATAGTAATGAAAATGTTTCTTTATAGAGCTCTTGTCTCTGGAGTCCCTATTCCTGGAGATCATGGTTTTAGCCTTTCTGCCATCATTGTCCTCCTCTACCTGTTTTAGTTTCCTGTTGAGTCTACGGTGAGGACTGGGTTAGCTCTCCTGCTGAAGAGCGTCTGTAGTGCTAAGCATCACAGGCTGCCCTTTGTCCATTGTCATATATTAACAGAAGAAAGAAGCTGACGTTTTTTAGTGTCTGGGGACAGATATTGTTGGGGTCTCAATGCAGTTGCTGCCACCTGGAGCCGTGTGTCTGTTGGAGGCTTGCTCTGTTTCACATCTGTGGCCTCTGTGGGGTCAGACTAACAGTGCTCCTGACAGGCAGGGGATGACTTTGCCTTCTGTATGTTCTGTCAATAAAGAGGAAATGGGCATGATTCCTTGTTGCTTTCTGTTTCTAATTCCCTGCTAATTTTTGCTTATTTTTGTACTTGTGAAGTTGGGAATGAGTCTGGTGCATGCATTTTTTTTTTTCAGAATTCCAGATTGAAAAAGTCTCAAGATTAAAAGCCATGCTTTTAGCTTTTAGAAGCAGACAGGAGAGAGGTTTTGTTCACTAGGATATCTTGAGAGGATCTCCTTTGCTTTATTAATCCATGATTTAATTTAATTTGTTAAGCATTTGCTGTATGCTATTGGCAATTTTTCTTCCCTTTTCTTTATATACATATGTCAACAAATTAGTATGTTTATATATTATAGATAATATTTATATCAGTATATAACATATATGATAGGTTTCTCAGGCCCCTATGTAGTGTTTCAATTTCCCAAACTGATCTTTGTGCTTGCTCCAAGAGAATTCTCAGCTAGAAGTTCTGTGGTTCCCTGTGCGGTCAGAGTAACAGTGCTGTAAGGAAGCAAAGTGAAAAATGCTAATGTTACAATGATTAGCAGTATGGAAGGGAGGTTTCCTTATTGGATGTACAAAAGGGTACTCATGGTTAGTGAAAGCTAAGTAATTAAATAGTAATTCAGATTCATTCCTTGTCTACGTTTTCACCCAACTGGAAAAACAAAGCAACCTAACAGATTAAGATCATTTACTGGCATAATCATTTGAGATCTCTGATTTGACTGCCTTCAACAATGGACTTTTTATTAGCTGGAACTAAATTTGTATCCTATACCAGGGGAAATCTGGACTTCAGAGAATCTTCGCATAGTCATCTCTGTCACATTTCAGAGTGCCATGACTATAATAAGAGCTGTTTTTTTTTTTTGCTTTATAGTTGCCTCTGAAAAGAATGGCTTAAGGCACAACATGGTGTGTTAACCCTGCAAACTGCAGTAGAAGGGGGGGCCAGCCCCTCTGGCCCGAGCCAATGATGATAGAGTAGAAGATGCTGAGTCATATATGGTCAGTTTCTACTCCCAAGTTCAGACATAATATCAAATGACACATTTAATTTCCAACTGGAAAAGCATGGCAGGGATAAATTTTTACAGGAAACAGCCTTTGAGCCAGTTTCTGGGATAATGTTCTAGGGGATCATATCTTTGGTGTGAGAAAAGTCCTTGAGCCCAAGGGGTTGGCTTTTATGTTTCTGCATTTACAAGTTCTTGGTTGTGGCTTGCCTCTGGGAAAAGGAACATGACACTGGATAAGGTGTCTTTGCTTCGTTGAAGCTACCTCTCAAACAGAACTGTTCCTGAGAGAGTCTTGAGGTGACAATAGGAAAATGGATGCTTCAATCATGAAGGGAAAGGAATTGAGTGGTACAGCATTCATTCTATGGGACCAGTAAGAGAAGGAAGTAACTACCCTTCTCCTACTCAGACTGACTGTGATAACAGATGTTTCCATGTAAAATTTAAAAGCAAGGAATGAGTTGTGTAGCTGGATTAGGGATGAGGAGTGTCTCTTTCTGAAATCCATGCCATAGTGACCTGACTGTGCAGGCAGTCCCCAGTGTTGAGAGACCACTGAACAGTCAAGCTAAGAGGGAGATGAGTCAGGTGAGGCCGTCAGAACTTTTATCCAAATCCATGTATCTGAACCAACAAAATATAGATAATTTTCATGTTTCATTAGATGGCAAATAATCTAATTCAACTACTTTGAGAATGTTTTGGTAAAGGACATAGTAGTTTCACCCATAAAAGACAGGACTTAGGGTGGCCATCACAAAAGACCATAAGCAGGATGACTTCTGGACAGCAGAGAACTGATTTTCAGACTTCTGAGACATCTGAGATCAAGGTCAAAGTATTGATCATATCCATGTCACAGGAAAACCTGCCTCCTTGTTCACAATTGGTCATCCTTTGGTATCATGTTCACATGGTGGTAGGACCATGTTAGCCTTGTAGCTGCTTTTATATGGCACCAATCCCATTCACAAGGGAGCTTCTTTCTTGATGTAATGGACTCATCTCCTAATACTATTACTTTGGGGATTTGGATTTCAGTACATTAATCTGAAGAGAACATAAACATTCCATTAGTGCCAGTGAAACGATAATTACAGCTGCAATTCTATTTTGCAAAATGTAGAGAAATTAAGGGGCTCTAAGGAGGAGGATTGAACTTGGTATAATGTTGATTGACAAAGGAATTTCAAAGCATTGTATATAGTATAAGTGGATACCATTTTTTTATGTGTAGGGACCGATAAGAACATTTCATGTTTTTCTGGGTCTTTTACCCCTTTTGCTACTGCTTGGCTCTCCTTTGGTGGCACTCAACTATAGAGAAAGCCTAGGGGAGGATGTCATCACTCAGAATTTTCTGGAAATTTGAGTAGCTCCAACTTGTTAAAGGGTATTACCTCTGCAAGTTAGTGGATATCCCGAGTATGGAGACAGACTGCCTACTTTTCTAACTCAGCCTGGTCTACAAAATAAAACAAGGTGGACGCTGAGCAAGGTGCCTCCACTTCGTCACCTATAAAATATCTAGCATTATTCTGAGGGGAGAACAAGTCAGTTCAGTAAAGCAATTGATTACAAAGGTGCTATCACATAGAAGGTACTCTATACTTTCTATAAAGTTGCTCTTTAACTTTAAAAGTTATTGTGCAGTTACAATTTAGAATAACATATGCTCTATTTTAATGTGTATGACTCAGTGGTTTTCAGTTATTCACCATCTTGTGCCATAATCTGTAATGTCTAGTTCCAAACATTCCAACACCTCAGTAAGAAACTGTTTGCTTGTTAGAGTTTACTCTCTGCTTCCTCCTACTCTCCATTATTGGTCGCTGTTCACTTACTTAATACCCCTACAGAGTCACCCCTTTCTGTTCACTGGAGAGAAATAGAATCCTACAATATGTGCTTTCTCTCACTTAACCTGATGGCTTCAAGTGTCATCCACCTTATGTGTGAATAGAATTCCATTCTTCCCAGGAGTTGAGCTTACTTCATTGAATGACAGTATCATTTTTATTTTCCCGCTCATTATTTGGTAGGTATTTGATGCATCCTACATTTGCTTTAATATGATTAATACTGCTGTGAGTTATCCTGTACAAATGTTTGTATGAATATATTTTTTAAAATATCATGATTATATCTTGTGATATCGAGAGAACCTCACTTAAAATTTTTATGTGCTTCTGTATTTGTGGGGTTTAAAAATAATTTACTGTATTTGAAATAATTTTTGTTTCCAACTGTATCTCAGTTTTTAAGTTAACGATAGCATAGAATAGTAGAGTTCTGAAGTTGGTAGATAGCATTCTTCCATAAGAATGCAATGAGGTGACACCATATTTTCTGAAGGAATGGACTACCTGAGTGCAGTCACTTGTGTGCACAATTTAAAGTTCTCAAAGCTAGAGGTGTGCACACCACGTATCCTTGAAATTTGTGCTGCTGTCATGCTTGGCTTGCTTTTGAGCCACTGTTGTCTCTGTTGAACAGGTTTTACATACATACATGCTGATACAATCACCAGTCACCTGTGTCTGCCCTCTTTACAGAAATCCCCACCTTTACCCAAAGCCCGTTATCATAAATCTCACGTTAGCCTTTTTCCTTTTTGATTGGCAGTTTAGACACTGGGTTTGGCAAGTCCTGTGGACCAGTACTTCTAGAGTGTGGATTTGCCTGAAAACAAGATCTACAGTCAAATGAACTTTTGGACATAGGATACTTTGTAACTCTCTTAGCAATCACCATTAATTTCAGCATTTTGAAAGCTTTTATTTATTCTTCAGTAAGTGCACACGTTAAGTTTTTTGCAGGAGGAGATTTTCACACTGTGTTTTTAGGACCATACTGTGTTTTAAGCACACTTTTCTCAGAATGTACTTTGAAAATTTCACTTACCTTAACTTTTTCCTCATAAGAAACCTCAGTTTTCAATTTTTGTGAATAATGATCAGCTTACATTAAGCTACTGTGAAGGA